TATGGAAAGATTTTCATGTAGAATTTGAGGATCAAAATTACGGAGTTAGAGAATTTAATGTTATTTCGGTAACAGTATATCGAAATTACCACATAAACTTATACATGTAAATCGGAAGCATTTACAATACAGATACATTTCAATGAACATGTACGTAATTGTGCAATTGAAAATCAGTTAACATGATTTATACAGAACTCATTTCGTCTATCAACACTTTCACAATGATTACGTAATTAACTAATCAAAAGTTTAATGCATAAATTGTAATTACATGTACATGTATCTGTATGTTAAGAAATATTACATAAAATAATTCGGAAACTAAAAACACATGTAGGACAAAATGTACTCTAAATATTATATCTTAAAAATCATACATGTATAAAAAAGAATTTAATTTATCCGCAGCAATTGTTACGTATGATTTTTCATATGAACATGTAGTACATGTACTGTGTGTACACGTATATGTATACTGCGTGTATATACATGTACATGTGCATGTACGTGTATACCGATACGGCGCATAAAATATAAATATACATGTACATGTATAAAAATTATGATTTATCAAACATTCATTCTAAATCCATCATTCATAAAAATGTCCGAAAAAAGTCTAATAAATTTGTCTAAATCTCGCTTCACCTGTCCAAACAGCGGAAAAGATGTTCGTCTAATTCCCGATATTCTACAAATAATATTCACAAAGTTAACATACAAAGATTTATTTTCTGTAATCCGTGTGAACCGTACTTGGTGTCTCCTCGGAATTCCAATATTTTGGAAAGCGCCGTTCAGTCATCGACACGCCAATCCGAAACATGCAATCCGTACATACTTGCTATCTAACACTGAACTATCAATCAACTATTTAAAGATGATTCCGTATCTGCCGGAAAACACCATCTTGCCAGAAAATTTAGAAAGATTTGAGGAACCGGATATTGATTTTGAAATTATTACGAAGCCTTTATTCGATTACGTTTCGTATTGCTTGGTGTTCGATTATAATGGAATATTCCGTGCGGTTTTGGGTTATTGCGAAACATTGGATCAACTCTGTAGAAAAAATACGGCTAAAAGGATAATGAAAATTTTGCTGGAAATGTTCAAATCTCGTGGTCATCAATTCAAAAATATGAGAGTGAAATATGAGCACCATGATAATAATATTCTTTCTAAATATACATTTTTATATTCAGAGATTGATACACTTAACTTGGTTGGATTACATGTTGATAAAAGTAAAGTTTTAGCTGCATTGATTCCATTATGCCGTAAAATTGTAAAAATTCATATTTATTTTTTTTATGATTTCAATTTATCAATTTATACTAATTGAAGTTAATTTATCGCAGAAACATTTGAGCATCACTATGAAAATCGGTTCTGATGAATTAAAGAACCTTATTGAACTTATACGCGGCCAAACTAATCTTACCACAATCGAGATAATCGGCAAGATAAATGATCACCGAAAATCACTATTGTCAGCACTTTGCGCACAGAAGAATACAATTACCTCAATGGAATTTTCATATTTCCCTTTTGAAGGTCTTACGGATTGGACCATCTTTCGACAATTCACTCGATTGAAACGTTTGAAAATATATTATTTCTCGAAAACAGATATTGATGATGATGCATTGGGTGTTAAATACATGGAAAAGCACCATTCATCGCATCATGTACACCGATATGGTAGCTTTAACCGTACAACATTCATTCCGGTTTTTTTCTTGAGATGATACGTACATGTAATTATGGTAAATATTAATGTGTTACAAAAGGCCCACGAGAATGATCATGAACGAGCTGCAGAGTTGGTTGCGTCATTAGCAATTAAGAAATGTAAATACATGTACTAGCATAATCATTGAGATTTGATCTTTTCCAATCGCAAATCGAGTAAACTTTTATCTGCATTTTGTGTGAGTGTTATTTTCATTGTCATTATAGTTATAAGCAGCTTCTATTATGGTCATTATTTTCGAATAATAAAACTAGTTAGACATGTTACAAGCATCAGTTATCGTTAATTATTACAATAAATGCCACTTTCAATCTTTTCAAATAATACAACTTGAGTTTCATTTTTATACTTTTAGTGGAAGTCGATTTCTATGTTATCGTTACCGTTACGCATGAAAAATGATATCAATATGCATGATACATGTTCATTAGCGTTAGAGTTAGGGTGTTCAATCGACTGACATAATTAAGTTAACATATGTCGATCCTTAATTGAGGAGCAAGATTCATGTTTTTGAACTTCCTTTTTGCGAGTATGGAATTAATAAATCAACGAGAAATTTGAATATCTATTATTATAAGTTTCAAAAACTAATAACGAATTTTTTGAATTGGCATCTTTTTTTTTACAAAAAAAATAACAATAAATTTTGCTAGCAATTTATATAGTTTTTTTTCAATATAATATAAAAAGGAGATTATCGTTATTATCTGATAGGAAACTTTCAAAGCTTTCGATTAAAAAAATTGACCCGAAATGACCGCTAACTTGCTGAGAAAAAGTAAATTACATGTATTTGTTCCGTCAGTCAAATGCATTTAAACATAAAGTAAATTTTCCGAAACCTTGGGATATTCCGCAGATCCTGGTTTTGATTACATGTAATTACGTACGTAGTCGATTGAACACCCTAATGATACATGTTCGTATACGGTATGTACGTAACGTTCACTTTATCGAGACTTAATTTTTCGTTACTTTAAAATTAACATTTAGAAAATACGGATATCAATGAATCGGTCAGTCATGAAAAAACAATCTCAATTGCCCTCAATATCTATCAAAATAATTAACAACCAAGGTACAGACCAAAAAATAACGTGTTTTTGCATACAATAGGAGCATCTGAAATCAGCAGAAAATGGTGATATTTTAGGAGAAAATGAAGTTGGTTATTATCAAAATAGAATAGGAACACAAAAAAAAAACGAAGAAAAAGCGTTTGAATGGTATTTGAAATCAGCGGAGAATGGAAATGCAACAGGACAAAGTGAACTCGGTTATTGCTATCAAAATGGAATAGGAACACAAAAAGACGAAGAAAAAGCGTTTGAGTGGTATTTGAAATCAGCAGAGAATAAAGAATTGGATATGTCCTTCGGGTCTTTTAGTTATCGGTATGATATTGGATACGAAACATTAAGAAATCCAAATATATATTAAAAAATTGGCGGAATCTGGTGAAATTACAGCTTATAACCATCTTGCAAAATGCTACTTTTATGGAACTGGGACAGTAGAAAATGAATACAAGGCATTTGAAATGTACTTGAAATCTGCTGAATTAGGAGACAAACATGGTCAGTTTAAGTTGGCAGAATTTTATCAATACGGATTCGGAATTGAGAAAGATTCGGACATGGCCTTAAAATGGTACGAAAGGGCGCGAGACAACGGTCATGATATAGCAGGGGAGATGATTGAGACATTTAATTTTGAACGTCAATATTCTCTATTGTATTAACTTTAAGTACTAGGTTAGTTTTTTATGAGTTAAATAGTTCGATTTTGTTTTCTTGAGAAATATACATATTACGAATTTTAGTAACATTTGGACGCACACTATATTGTGTTTACTTTTACTTTTTGATTACTCCTTGCTAGTATGGTGCGCGCAGTCTAAAGACATCCAATACTTTGAACTATAAAGGAATTTTATTTTGAATATAATCATAAAAACAAATATAATCTATAACATTATGCATATCTTTGTTCATTTTATTATAAAAATTATTTGTAGTTAGATTTTTTTAACATCAATTTTAATAATAATAGTGATATTTTCAGCACCTGAAATATCACGTATATTATTTTTGATTGGCTGGATTTCATCATGTAAAATTCTAATCAGCATTGCATATTAATACATGTATACGTAATAAGTTACATGTATTTAGAAATGATAATCCTTCAAACAGTGGCGCAATATTTGATGCGACTAAGCTGCGCGCACCATACGTATATACTTAGGGATACGTAGTTAAAGTTTATTTAATAATTAATGCGAAATTATCCAAAACAGTAATCTATCTTATCGTTACTATCATTCGTCAGTACATTTAAAATTGGAAAACTAGTTTAAAAAATAAGATTTTACCGTTCAAATTAAAGTAATTACAAGTAATTTTAATAAATTAGTTTATCTGTAAATTTTTATGCAATAAAAACGTTTTTCATCTTATAAATATTATTTAAATGTGTTTTATAAAATAGATATCGATCTAATTTAATTTTATATTTGTAAAATCATTATAGTTTTTTGAGCTCTTATTTAAATTTAAATATAAAATTATGAATAATTATAATAAGATATAGTACTATATAGTAAGCTTCTTGTCACTTCCCGAATGATTTTTTAAATTTTTGTCACGCCTTTCCATCAAATTTATATTTCGAATTATAGAGATAGGATATAAATATAAATATAAAATACAACGTGTAAGTTATTGGATAAGCGTAATTAAAAGTTTCAGTATGGAAAACTAGTGAATATGAATACTGTACAATTATAAAGTTAATATCAAAATATAATTTAAAGCCGAATTTTAAGAACTCCCGAATCAAATCTCTAGGGTTCTTTGATCATCAAAGGGATTCCTAACAAAACAATAATTCAGGCATTGAATCTTTTATATACCATTAGTTAACAATAAACAACAAGTCAAATTCAACTAGCAAAAATTAATCTGAAGTAGTGAAGAAAAAAACAATAATTCAGACTTTGAATCTTTTTATATGCCATTGGGTAACAATTACAAAAGACGGAACCTATATTTTTCACTTAAAGCAAAAAAGCTTACGAATCCCTCTTCATTTGACGCAGTAGCATGAACGAAAAATGAAAAGCTCTCTTAAACTTTGAATCGTCTTTATGTAAAAAAAAACTAGTAGTTCGATAAATTTAATATTATAGCAGCAATTTTAGCTATGTATATAAAGTGTGATTTTTGTTAGTTATTTTTTATAAGATATTAAAGATACATTATTGTCGTTTAATATTTTCACATACCGTCATAGTCGTTTAAATAAGATATTCTATGCATAATACAACAGATTGTATTGGTATTTTCTACTTTTATCTGATTCTTCTGACAAGTTTTCTATGCTTACGAGGTAACTTAGATTGTATTTGGATGGTTGGATTTTTTGAGATTAAGTTTGAACTTTTAGCTATGATTACTTTCGACCATTCTAAATATCAATATCGAACTCTATGCTGCTGACATTATATAATAAAGCACAAATAAACGAAAATTAACAATCCCGATTGCGGCATAGCAAATAACTTTACCTTTATTTGACATATAAACTGACACTATTATTAGGTTTAGCATATCATATTCAGTAATCATATTATATATTTTAATAAAATAAAATCAACTATACAACACACAATTACATGATTGATGAATTTAATGAAAATACATGTACGTAATACTTTATCTTGGAACATACAAATAGAGACTTGTAGCACCTAAATACGTATGTAAAATAAATGTTAATATCGATATGAAATATCTTTCGAAATAAAAGCGCTTGTGTCATTGGAAATTTCTTTTTTAGTAACGTGTAAATCAGTGTTGGTGAGTCAATGGACTGAAATACTGTTTCATTAAGAACAGTCCATTGTTCCATTAGTTCGGTATAATCATTACTGGATCAATGATTTATTATTGCAATGGAAACCAATAACCAGGTCCATTTAGTGTTTCGGGAGAAACTATTTTCCAAAATCCGAAACACATTGTCTTACACTTTGTATATCAAATCGGGGCGAAACTAGTTTCGCCCGAAACACTCTCCATTTGATAACTAAAAATATATGCAAGCTGCACCGCAATGGAACATGGACCAAAGTCCATTGGTCCAATATAATCACTGGACCTGGTCCATTAGTACACTGTGTAAATGTTAGTTGAGTGAATTTTTTGTTTATTTTGAACGAATGCTTTGTCGTTTCTCCTGGTCAAATTCTGCGCATCTGGTTTAAGATACTCGTTAATACTTTCACGCGTTTTAGTACCGAAAATGCAAATTATTCGGCTCATACGAGAGACACCTGATTCCCCGCACCCATTACCCCGACATGGCATTTCCCCAACATGATAGGATATTGTGATATAATTATCAACTGGACTGGTTGACTTTGCATGTGATTAACAGGTGGGCCAGGGCCAAAATTAGAGTTAGGATTATATGTAAAATTTCCTCCCCAACATTTTTGCTAGCTAAGAATTATCAGGAAAATGTTATGGTGCACACTATATGTCAGGGACATGGGTGATCGGGGAAATGGGTTGTCGGGGATATGGCTTCGGGAAAATGTTGTGCCGGGAAGAGTTTCGGGTAATTCTACCGCACCAGTTCATAGTCGAATTTTATTTTTTATTATTAAATAATCTTTTAACTTGTGTTGTATATTGTTTGTAGATTTGTATTGGTTTCCTTTAGAAATCAGAGCAAAGTTCACCTATCGTTATGTAATGTCATTTTGTTATCGATCTACGGATTATCAGTAGTGCTGAAACCAAAATATTTCAGTTAGGGCATTAAGATTTTTAAAACTGGATGCCGAATTAAATATTGATTATCGGTAGAGAATATCTTATACAAATCTGTAGCCAAAAACAAGGGTTACGATTTTACTCAAAATACGTAGTATTTTTATAATTTCTATCGAAAAATAAAATGAAAAACAAGGTCAAAGACGAAATGATCATTTATCTTCATTTGTTATATTAGTTTACAAAATGATCATTCGCATTCGCTTGCGAAATTGTCATTATTTACTTGCTATATTTATTAACTATATACATTAGTAAATATATTCAATTATTTTTTGAGTTTACATTATAGCAACATTCTATCTTGTTCACTTTCTGTAGCATGCATTGCAACATCTTTGATTCTTTTCTAGAAATGAAAGAGAAGACCTTGACAGAAGAATATAGGAAAGGAAATACATATATTACTAAGTTGATTGCTTATACGTACTCAACTTTGCTGATTCTTTAAAATGATTTTTTCATGTGATTCTGGTATTATTTTGTTAAAGCAAGTCCTTAGTATATATTGTCATACGATCTTTGAAAATGACGACTGATTGCCAAATCATGCCTAACCAACATGTTACAATTGGACTTGAAGGTCTCAAATCATAATACATGTACATATTCCACTTTATTGTACAACGAAGTCGTTCGGCCGCAGTCACAGGATGTGGTTAGGCGCTCCCAATATAATGACACATGTACACTGAATGGAGCCTTATCACAATGCTCCAGGTAGGCTGCAAATTACCCGAACACAATTGACCGCAATCACAGAAGTTTATTTCAAGAGGAAAAAACTGACCGCGGAATACGTACTTTTTCCTTAGGTTAGATTTTCCACTCACGTGTCGATATACGTCATGCTTTCACGTGATTATAAATGTGTATTTCTTCGGGCTTTGTTGTATGGTTAGTCCGACTAAAGCCATCACTAGTGGGAGTTTGAAAGACTGTTATCTTTTACATTTAAGACTCGGCTATCTCATTATTATTCTATTATCGCTGAGAGCATGATCTTGAAGGATATTAAATTGAATTCATTTTATCAAATAAGCTCTGTATCTCACAAGGAATACGTAAGCAATTACAGTATATACATATGTACATGCATGAATTTTTCAGCAAAACGTAATCTCCAACAAACCAACATTAAATATATACAAATTAGTTAATAAATACACTCAAAAAAGCATTAGCGTAACAATCAATAAAATAGAAATAGCAAATAGATCCTTTCGTTCATATAATGAAACGATTCTTGAACCATCACTAAATGTTTTTTCTGTTGATTGTGCATTTGAAGGAGTGTAAGTCAAAGAAGGAAAATCTGATCCTGATGCTTTTGTTAATGATGAGGTGATGGATGCTGTTGTCGATGTTGGTGTGGGTGTTGATTCTGATGTAACATTATTAACATTTGGATCAAAAGATAACGACAACTGAAATTGTATCTGTCTCTTATTAGGATTCGTCACAGCAAGACATAACGGCGTATACACATTCCACTGATAATTAATATCACAATCAGTAACCGCCACTATTTCTGGCTGTTGAATGTAACAAGACGCCGCGGCCCGAATATAAATTATTTTCGCATTTGGGTCTAGGTACGATTCGAGACTTGTTGTGTTAAGTACAGCAGCTATTACACCATTCATTGAGGAACTTGTCGCTTTGTAGATGTAGCCGAGTTTTTGTTGGCCAAAGTTTGGTGGGTTTGGGAATTTCTTGCCGTCCGTTACTGATAAATTGTATACTATATAATTTGAATTTTATTATTTATTTGTTGGAGTTATTGGTTTATAGAAATACTGAAATGGTTCTTACTAATCGAGTTTGTTGGTTGTGAGCTGCATATGTACCAAGTATATTGCGACTTCAGATTTATTACCGCGTTTACTACATTTCCCTGAATCCCAGTAACCTTTAATTACAAAGAACCAAAATAGGAGTCAATTTGATTATGATTATTATTAAATTTTAATTTTTTTACCTGCATTAAATAAATCAACCAATTTATGATGAAAAATATAGTTATAGATTTCTTGTGCATTTTTATTTTCGCGGTGCAAAACGTTGAAAATTAAATAAACGATGCGTTTCAAAAAAATTGGTGTACACCACACCAAAGAAAAACTTTTAAGTGTAATTATTAATTATCCATGATAAATTTTACTGGGCTTTTCATACATAATTACTAAGCCTCATAATTTATTCACAACGCTAACTCATAATAATTGTGGCTGAATAGATTTATTGTAAGCCACACGTAAAGTTATTGACATGTTTATTAAACATGATACAGACAGATTCGTTGTTGAATCCTGTTTTGTAGAATTCAACTGACGCATTTGGTATCGTTAGTAATTTCGTAGATTTTGCGTTGGGTATTAATAGCTGTTTTTTCAAGATTGATTAGTTTGTATAAAGACAATTAGTAAATATTTTTAATTCTATAATATTTTATTTTCACTTTATCAAAGTTTCTTTTAAAATAAAGTAAATTCCAATAAACTGTAATTTATAATAATATTGCATAAGGAGTTATTATACACTTTACATGTATACAAATTTATACCAAGTTCATTAAAATGGTGTGCCATTTCTATTGAATCTTAAAGTTATAAATAGGGTTCCGAAAAAAAGTTTGGTTCGGTTCGAGCTTGAACCGGACTCGAACCTGACCAAAAGTCCGGTTCGAAAATTCGAACCCAATTAAAAGTCTGTTTCGAGTTCGGTTCGAACTTCGAACCTGACCAAAAGTCCGGTTCGAGTTCAAGTAAATTTTCGATTATGTTCTAAGTAAACCTGTAGATCATAACTAGAGCTACAAATTAGTATCGGTATAAGATAGTTAATATTTAGAATGAATATTCAAAATGTTATATAGGTTTAAAAAACATTTTTAATTATTTACGTTTTTAATTCACTTTACATATGTTATAGTAAACATTTATTTTTTGTTTAGTAAACATAAACTACGATTCTAAGCAGAGCGTTAGCCAGAAATAAATGCTACAAACTGATATATAATAGTTGCTATTAATAATAAATATTCAAAGAATTATATAGATTTTACAATAAAATTTATTAAACGTAAAAATAAAAATATTTTATTTGTCACTAAGTAAACATTTAATTTTTATTAAATACTATAAATTTTATGTATAAGTAAATTGTATATAGCTCATATTTAAAGCTACAAATCGGTATATGATACTAGATGCTGATCTCAAATCGAACTCGAACCAGACTCGAACTCGTACAATGGTTCGGTTCGAGTTCGGTTCGAACTTCAAACCTTTCTTGTACTTAAACCAAAGTCTGGTTCGAGTTAGGTTCGAATTTCGGACCCGACTCGAACCCAGGCAAAAGTACAGTTTGGTTCGGTTCATAGGAACACTCACAAATGAATGAGAATCTAAGTAAAATCTTTTAATTTTTAATCAAATGGCTTAAAATGTTTATTAAGAAAACTTTGAAATTTAGGCTTTTTATTTACTAATTTGATATAACTTTTATAAGTAAAAAAATATGTAATTGATTTTAACTAATAATAATTTATTAAATTTCAAACATATTTGTAATAATTGTTATTAGAAAATTAAGTATGCATTTTGTACTTATTTAAATTATTTTAAATTAGTGAAACAAGCTTAAATCTTAAAATTTCAAGTCATTTGATTAGAAATTGAATGACTTTACGAAATACAGTGCTTGATTCTCATTCATACGCGAACTACCAATTAATGAAATCAGAAAAAGCAATGTTTTAATTTCATTTCAAATTAGGGATGGATTGAACCAATCAACTATAGCTTAACATAGTCAACCATAATCAAAAAATTAGCATATCTCATCTATAAACAACAATATATTCCATGTTATAAGTCCCTCAACTAGGAATTTAATCCAAATTTAATCCACAAATATGATAAAGATATAAAACATTTGTGGATTAAATTTGGACTAACTTCCTAATTGAGGTACTTATAACATAGAATATATTGTTGTTTATAGATGAGGTACACCATAGTTATATTACATAACTAAGGCTCCATTAAGCAATGCCCAGAGAAAAATTCACCGAGCGCCATTTAAGGCCCTATAAAATCCGAATCCCACATGCGTCGTACCTAAACTCCAAATTCTGCTTAATGTATCCACAATAATTTCATGTTCTGCTTGTATAACCAATATTACAACAATCTTATCAAATTCTTTCACCTTAAATACCAATCGTTTCCTAATCACGCATGCACCCAACTCATCATCTTCTGAACTGTCCTATTATTAAGTCTTCTTTCTTTTCAGTGTCATGCTATCAAATGTTGGCAATACTAGTATATCAAAAGTACGAGTCAACCACAATGCAGTTGTATACTTCATCCGCTAAATACTGTATGCATTTTCTTAAGCGAGCTTGGGCCTTATTTTATAGAGTTACGCTTCTTTGCGGGTGCTCTAGTGGTGCGTGAAATAAGTGCATCCAGAGAAAGACAGGGGTATACAATACGGTTAATATCATTGTCGATGAATTGCCATAGCCAACTGTGAGTGAATACCATGCGAGAAAAGTTCGGACACCAGGATCAATGGTTGCAACCTGGATTTCTTCCACTTGATTCTCACAGATAGATTTTCATACACACAGTATAATGTTTAATGTCCTAATTTTCTCTCGTATATTAATTTCGAGTCCATTGTAACTTTTCCAGTATCATTTGGCCAACAATAATTATATCTTTGAAATTCGTGATGAAATGGTGGCTTTGATAACGTGGATGATCTGTAGAAGAACCTTATTATGTAATAGCCTTAGGTAAAAACGAAGGGTTTTACGACAGTGCTGAGCACGAATAGTAATAGTTTGGCCGTCGTCCTTTTTATAGACAAGATAAAGTATATTGTAAGGATTTTGACTTTTTTTCTTTCGATTTCTTGCAATAACTTCATCTTTGACCTGTATAGCACTTGAAATAGCATATGGCACCTTTTCTATAAACGTTCATACCTTTGTGTATCTAATTTTTAGCCGAAGAAGCACTCTGAAAAACTGCTTTCAAGTTCTATAACATTGACGGTAATTGATTACTACCATGTTATAAACCAACCTAGCAAAACTCATCCACTGTCGAAGCAAATCTTCTGAGAAGAATTGAGATACATTCGTACTTTCAGTGATCATCGCGTTGTTTGCACTTTCTTCCTGCGTTTTTTGCTTTTTGTATTGTTTCCATTCTCGTCTGTATCTAGAAAATAAGTAATTTAATTTGCTTTAGGTAAAAGTAAGTAATATTTACCTAGCATATCGCTTTCCTTATAATCGGCAGATGAAGATGGTGTTAATGGCAAGGATATCCAAGATAGTTCTCATTCATCCGTTGGATTGTCATTTGAAAGAACCACGAGTCTTGTGCTATTAAGGTGGAAGATGAACTTGAAAGCGAACCTACAGAGTCTGTCTCTGTGAGCAACCACAATCTCCTTGACCAGTCCGCGACTCAATCTTCCAATAGGGAACGCAGTCCGGGTCTCTTGAAGTTAATGCCAGAGCCGATATCGGAGATGAGGTGATGATTTTAGAATTGTGAGAGAAGGTACTATTTCTGCCTTTCAAGATCTTCTTTCTGTTTCGGGCTGGAGACTCTCACGTAAACAAAGCATTCACGTTGGGATGCTAAGATGGAGGAGGATAAAGTGGTGGTGGTAGAATTATCAGCACTGTGATTTCTGAACATGAATTCGACATTATAGGCACTTTGTTACGAGAGGAATCTAGAAGCGTGTATCTATTCCAATGCCGAAGTGTGTGCTAGCTGAGATGCCGAAAAAATTGAATGCTTTAGATGCAGAAAGCAACATGCAGAAGTCAGTAAGTTTTGCTTAACACGTAACTCGAATGCACATTCAAAGATACTCTATATACGTTTGCAGTTAATAAAGAGGCTGAAATACCTGTCTAGAATAATGCAACAGCTGTTTAAAGTGCTTCGAAACCAGAAAAATCTTTTGGTAGTTGTGATGTTTGAAAACAAAAGTTTTAAGAGTGAAACGAGAGTTTTAAGGACGAAAGGATAGAATAAAGTTTCAGCCACGCTCTGATTAAGTGTTATAACTTAATATAAACAAATAATTTAACAAAATAATAGCTTTTTGGTGTTTACTAATATTATCGTTAGATTGAGATCTACAATTCAAAATTGGCATTATGGCGCAGTATTGGATATCATGTCATGCTGTCCCCACTATATTTTTGTCTTACCGATAGCTTTAAAAAGATTATAAATCTTCCTTTCTACTCTTTTCTCAATTGCATTTCTTGAAAGATCAGCGGGAAGCTGTTTTGCGACTTCATCGATAAGTTTTTTCTGAGCCCTACGATCTCCAAGTTTTTTTATAGTTGTCAAACCTATCCTCAAGTTCTTTTCCAAATGCAGAATATGCATCTAATAACTTCTTGATTAGTGATATCAGTTCGTTCCTCAGCCTTAGTAATTGCATTGTATAAATCGGTAAAATTACCAGAGTTCGTGATAGTTTTGGTTTGTGAGATCGTACTCGATGAAGAACTTGGTGATTCTAACTCCTTAATAAGTTTTTTTTTTAACATAGATGAATCCTTATCCTTCTTTTTACCAGCCTTTTTAACTTTTTTATTAGATGATTTATCGACAGGAATTGGTTCACTAGTGGTTTGAGTGATGAGTCGGTCGCATCTACTACGTGAGTGGTGTCTTTACTTTGTAATGTCTGAATAAATCCAGTATTGGCGCCACTCTCGAACAACGGAGAGTACATTCTGCTTCAGGTCAAGAAATCTATGTAAATTATGTTTCATACCCGTCTATAGAGTTGCGAACAACAAGTCGTTTTCCGGTTTCTGCATGAAATAATTTCATTTCAAAGGGGGCTCTCAATAAAGATGTAACTTCTTGCCGATTCGTTAAAAAAAGATACTCTTTTATAGAATACTCTTTATAAATTAAAGATTGAAAAGGCGTAGGTTGTTAGAAAAAGAATTGTAAAAAGAGAGAACGTGTGAGAATGTGAATCGACCAATATAATGATGATGAACGAACAAGCTGCAGTATTTATCAAAGAAACGATGATCACCAAGTTCTGGTTATCGAATTTTACTGTGGATTACGTATATTTGTTAGTATACATGATTATACATGATTTTTACAGTGTTTAATACGTAGTCAGCGCTCTACGATACATTGTGCTTCTAAATATAAATCATGTTGACTTTTCGTATTAATTATAACTAAGTATAATTAAAATTTCGATATAACTTTAAAAGTATAGTAAATCTTGATATAACGAATGTTCCAAATTTATACTAACAGTCCAGCCACCTTCGTTATATCCAGTTTTAAATGTTTAGGCTCTACAAGTGTATGTTTGTATGTTCCAGATGAAGGTAAAAACACTATTTAATATTATTTTTATTAACTTCATTAACTCATTACTTTTTTTCTTTGGTGTTTTTGCAAAATAGATTTCGATTTTGTAGACCCTAGAGAATGAAGGGGTCCTAGTAACATACAAGAAAAAACTACAAATTCACGATGAAAATCTCCAATAAACTAAGTTAAATTTAAAGAAGAAGATAACTACTTTATTTATAATTATTTAATTAACAATAATACAAATTACAGTTTGTTATGGTCTAAGAACATTAGAGCAAGATAATTTTATTGCACAAAGCAAAAATCCCCTATATAACATAAAAACAATGATGGTATTTCGTTACTTTCTTGATCCGAGCGATTGAGAATACAGTTTACTCAATTACAAATTTTTACGTTTGTTTGCGAAATTTTTACTTTACTATGTTTATTAATATAGTAATTAACTGCCTATTTAAGCAAAATTTCGAGCTGAGCATTTTTTACTAGTTACCCAATCTTGGTTTACTTAACGTTAATAAAATTTCGAATTTTGCTTTTTGGGTTTTTTCGACACAAAAAATTTCGATTGCGATCTTGATATGATTGGCTATTCGACATTGTTTTGAAATTTCTGATTGGTCGCCAGAACTCACTATAAAACCATTAGAAAACCATTAAGTTTTGGTCGTTCTACCTAGAGGTTTCCACCAATATGGAACCTCTAGCGGAATTTCAGATTTCTCCTGGTAGTTTTCTAATAGTTTCCTAGTAATTCATTTGAATTTTTGATGAATATAATATGAACCTTAATGAAAGCATTAGGAAACCCGGGGTTCCTGTAGAGGTTTCTGCACAAACACCCCTAGTGTACTGACCCGTTTCTACCTGTAAAAATGAATTATAATTTGTAACAGTCATCAAATGCAGGTTGTAGCGGTAGCTGTGAAAATTTTTATGCACAATACATGTATTAACACAAATACGAACGGAAGTTTTGTAAAGTGATACCGTAATTTCCACATAAATCATCTTGAATTGCACCAGAGTATAATTAATGGATAAGAGCTCTATAGGGAAAATATAACACATCCGGGTTTTATATACTTACACTCGTAAACTGGAGATAACAGAAGAAGGGAATGCATATTTTATTGAGATATCCGGTTAAGGCTTATGTTATTTCTGGTTAATTAAGATATATTAAATATACAGCAATTTCTCATTGGAAACTCTTTTACAATAGGACAAATCTAACTTGACACACTCTCACTAACAAAGTCACTGTGTTCTAAAAATTTAGTTTTATATATTATTTTTTGTTAATAGAAGACCAAATTATTTTGATTGCAGTTGAAATTTTTACAGATCCTTTAAAAAAATTCTTAGTAATAGAATCCTGCATCATTGATAATTCAAATGTTGCTGATTTTTGCTATTTTTATAATTAAAGTAATTGAATTATATATTTTTTTGTGTAATTTTCTAACACTTAAAGTTTCTATTTAATCTATACTAACATTTGAGTATTTTAAACAATAAAAAAATTGTTGAATAATAAATAGCAACGATTCTATTAACCAAATAGATACATATACATGTACATAGAATTTCTTAATAAATAATCAGGAAAAGAAACAAAAATTGCATATCAGAGAATTTTACATAATCGATTTTAGTAGGACCAATTTTGGTGCTTTTTGCGAATTTGAGTCAACTTTGTCAGTGTTCTGGTATCAGGTATGACTTTTTTCTTTATCTTGCTACTAAACCATTATTTTTAGTGTACGACGAATAGTATGCTCTGAGATTTTGTTATTTCCTGTTTCGTAAAGACAATTTTGAATGTCAACGACAGTAGAACAATCACAGAACGCAATGAGATGGACTGTTGTTCTTTCCGACCGGTCATTTAATGATCATGGACAACCAGAGTTACTTATATCATTTAAAGTGCGTTGTTCACGCCATTTTTTATTAATACGAGAGATAGTGGAAGCATCAATTTTTCGGATTCTTGCTATTTCTCTTGTAGTGTACCTATTTTGTAACACGATGATTTCGGCTCTTTCTTCTAGAGTCGTATGACAATTGATGTTTTTATTGTTAAAAGTTGCAGCATAATTTAAAAACAAAACAGCTCTTGAATAAATAGTTCAAAATAGATGCAACATCCATTTTGTGCGAGTTATCTCAAAATCGTGATTAATAGTAACGAATAAAAAGTTTAATAAATAAAACTGGTATGGTGCATAATGATATCTAAAGTCATCAAACGTTTGTGTTTTAGAAAATGTATAAACTAAGAAGTAAATACAAAATTTAATCCGTGAATATGCTCAGAAAGGGCCTATTCTATCATATTAACGGGTTAAATTTTGTATTTACTTTTTAGTAAAGATCTTTATATATTTTATAAAATACAAACGTTTGATGTTATGCACCATACGTACTACGATACGATAATGCGTATCAAATAAATATCATATTTTTTCTTTCCAAGTCAATTTTTATAAAAGGGATCGTTATATTCAAGTTTGACTGTAACACTCACTACCGTTATAATAAGTGTTATATAAAAAATTGTTATAACAAGCGCATGTTATTATAATCGGGAATTTGGCAAAGCTCGCAATAATCAAATCTCGATATACATATAAGGGGATATCCAGGTTTGACTGTACAATCGACCTCGATATAATATACTCTGTCTAACAATTATAAATATATTAACAGATCTTAAAAACATGCGACAAAATTAAATTCGAATCGTAAAATATAAAAAAATAGTTGTGATTCATTCAAATTTAGGTAAAAATTAAAATTTTTTGTGGCTTAAAAAACTTTTGATTGCTTAAATATGTTTTTGGTGTAAAGTCTGTGCATATTGATGAACTGGATTCGTTCGTGCATTTGATTGAATTACAAGGTACAGTGGCTCACACATGTAACCGAACACGAAAATTAACTTTCTAGCATTTTTATTTCCATGACTATTAGTTTGGA